CAGCCTGTAATCCCAGCACTTTGGGAGGCCGAGGCAAGTGGACTGCCTGAGCCCACGGGCTCGAGACCAGCCCAGACAACTTGGTGAGACCTTGTCTCTATAATAAATCAAAAATTAGCTGAATTCAACGGAGAATTCAATGTACCTTTTTTGAGTTGGAATCTCACTCTGTCGCCTAGGCTGGAGGGCAGCGGCCGCTCCCGGCCACCGCAGCCTCGACCTGCTGGGCTCCAGCGATCCTTCTGCCTCAGCCTTCCAAGTAGCTGGAACTATTAGGCGCGCGCTACCACGCCCAGCTAATTTTTTTGATTTATTGTAGGGACGAAGTCTCACCAAGTTGCCCAGATGGGTCGCGAACCCACGGGCTCAGGCAATTCCCTCACCTCGGCCTCCCAAAGTGCTGGGATTACAGGCTGAGCCGCCGAGCCTGGCCGAATTCTCCGCTATTGACAGATGCACTTGTCTGACTGGGGAAGCCAGGCATGCTTAGGTCTCCTGAGGTCCAGAACAGATGGCATCAGGAGCACGGCACCTGGCCCCAGCTTGAGGCCCACTCCTGTCCCTTTGCTCCACCCTAAACCGGAAGGTGCCCCATGGACACACCTGTGCATCCCTGTGCTGCCCCCCATATCCTGCAGCCTGGAGGGTGGACCTGCCGTGGCGTCAGGCCCGGGGTCCCAAGGCTGGTCTAGAGGGACTGCAGGTCTTGGAGGGCTAAGCAGGCTGAGCCCTTGCTCGCAGGAAGGGGCACAGTCTGTAGATGCCAGACCTGGATCTTGGACAGGCCTGGGGTGGGACTGGCCCCCAAAGCCTCCTGAGAGGCTGAGGCTGGAGTGGCACTTCCTGCCCATATCCTGTGGTGGCCCTGGCCAATGGCCACCAGGACAGCAGCTTAAAGCCACGTGAGCAAATCCTGTTGGTCTCCGTCTCCCTCCCAGGGGCCTGGTGGGGTTTCCTCTGAGCCTCCGGGCTTCTTGCCTTTTCCAGCCACCAGAAGTGCCTCCTGCTGGGTCCCTGGAGGCACAGCCGCAGTTCTGCACCGTCCACGTTGCCTTCCTCCCACCCGTGCCCATTCCTCACGGAGTCACATGAGAATGCCAGGCCCCCAGGTCACCCCCCCGCTTCCCACCTCAAGACTATGTCTCTGGGGGCCGCGGCTCAGCCCACCGCAAGCTTGAACATGGGGAGCGAGTGAGTCCTGCGGTGTCTGGGGGAGTGTGTCCCATGCAGGGGACACAGCCGGTGAAAAGGCCACAGGCAGATGTGCAGTGGCCCCCACCCCTTGGCTGGCCTCTTCCTGTAGGATGGGAGCAGGCAGGGCTGGGATGCCAGCCTGCAAGCTGAGAAGCCACAAAGATATGCAGGGACGGAGGACGTGGTGGGAGTGAGGTCAGAGGCGCTGGCCGGGTGTGGGCCTTGGGGGCCATGGGAGGACTTGGCTCTGGCTGTGTGGTGGCCCCCAAGGGACTCGACCAGACGCCTTCTCCAAGGAGCACCCACGGGTGTGCTGGGCGGTGGCCAGGCCAGGAGGAAACATGAGGGCAGCCCACGTGCCGAGTGACCCCTAAGCCAGCTCTCCCCACCCCCACCCTGGCCCCAGCGGCGCAAGGAAGCACCGGCCACGCCCTGGAGGAGGATCCCCTGCGCTGGCTGATGACCCCATTGTCCTTCACCCTCCTACCCAAGGCGACTGCAGGGAGTCGCCCCTGCTGGCTCTCGGGGTCTGCAGCTCTGGACGTGTGGCTACCCGGCCTGGGGACCACATGGCGGGGACCCGGATGCTGTGAGCAGCCATGGGTGTATGGCCCAGGACACTGGAGCACTCCTACAAGAGCGATCGCCCAGCCCAACCAGCAGAGCCTGTGTGAGTGGAGACTCTGGTCTAGCCTTGGCAAGGGGTCCCCACCCCACTCCACCCACCCAGGTGACCCTGTCCCCTCAGGCTTCTGCTAGAAGGGGGACAGGGGTCACGCTAAGTGACAGCCAACCAAGATAGAGGAGCACTCAAGTCTCAGCTTCGCTTCATACCCTCTGCGCCTGCTCCTGCCTTCCCGTGCCACCTGGTGGCCCAGCTCACATGGAGGGTAAACTGAAGCCTAGGGGTTGCAACAGGCACTTGGGTTGCAACAGGTACTCGAGGGCTGCAGCTCTGTGGTGGTGAAAGTGCTGGGACCTGGCCTCGGCAAGACCCCTACCCCTAGACATGCCAAGTGCAGGGGAGAGGCTGTTGGGGGGGCGAACCCTCCCACAATTTCTCTTAATTTTCATTCACTGATTTTGTAGAGACAAGGTCTCATTATGTTGCCCAGGCTGGTCCCCAACTCCTGGCCTCAAGCAATCCTCCTGCTTAAGCCTCCACAAAATGCTGGGATCACAGGGTGAGCCACTGTGCCCAGCTCGTATCTCTGGCATTTGAAGTGGGAGGCCAAGAGGGGAGGATCGCCTGAGGCCAGGAGTTGGACCAGCCTGGGCAACATAATGAGATCTCATCTCTACAAAAAATAAAAGGCCGGGTGTGGTGGCTGACGCCTATAATCCCAGCACTTTGGGAGCCAGAGGTGAGAGGACTGCCCGAGTCCACGGGTTCAAGATCAGACTGGGCAACTTGGTGAGACCTCAACTCTACAATAAATCAAAAAATTAGCTGGGTATGGTGACACATGCTACTTGGAAGGCTGATGCAGAAGAATCACCTGAGCCCAGCAGGTTAAGCCCGCGGTGGCCATGAGTGTACCACTGCACTTCAGCCTGGGCAACAGAGTGAGACTCCAACTAAAAATAAAAATAAACAAAAATTTAAAAATTAGCCGGGCATGGTGGTGCATGTCTGTAGTCCCAGCTACTCAGGAGGCTGAGGCAGGATTGGCCTGAGTCCAGCAGGCCAAGGTTGCACTGAGCCATAATGTGCCACTGCCCTCCAGCCTGGGCGACACTGAGACCTGGACTCAAAAGAAAAGTGCCCACGATGAAAACATTAACAATAAAGTATTCATACTGGCTCAACAGCAGCAGCAGGTGCACCACCCTGGTGCCATGTGCTAACAGGGCGATGGGGTATGTGAGGCTTGTCTGTACTTTCTGCTGAGTTTCTCCATAAATTGACAACTGCTCTAAGAAATGAAATCTGCCTGCTGGATGCAGTGGCTCACGCCTGTAATCCTAGTGCATCGAGGCGGAGGTAGGAGGATTGCTTGAGGCCAGGAGTTCAAGACTAACCTGGGCAACGTAGCAAGACCCCCATCTCTGTAAAAAAAAAAAAAAGTCTACTCATTTGACACCAACAAAATGCTGTGCTCGTGGTAAGGCTTATGTATGAAATGTTTGTGCATTTCTTCACGTCATCAACATGCCACCTCTCCCACACACCCTGGGTACGGCTCTTCCTGTCTGAGGAAGCGTGTGGAAGCCGCCCCTCCAGGACTCAGACTTTCAAGATCTCCACCTTCCACTTCCTCTAGCCAACCTCTTGGTGAACTTCCATCTCTAGTACTCTGGTTAGCTTTTAGTGAGTTATTTTTATTTAATAAAAACACCACGTAGTTTAAAAGCTGTAATTCCTACACCCCTACAGTAAAAGGGAAACCAACCAACTCAGAAATGGGCCAAGGATTCGGACATTTCTACAAGGAGACAGGCATGAGGCAGCCATGCAATGGAGAGTCAAACACAGAGGCCACGCTGCACTGGAAGCCCCCCAAATGTCTGACTGAGTCCCCTTCTACTCACCCCTCAAAGGGCCCCTGGCCTGCTGTGAGCAGTTTCCTGCTGGCTGGGAAAGGGCACTGCAGCCCTGGACACCCCAGCCCCTGCCCCGGGAGTGCTCCTGACGCTGTGCCCGGCTACTGTGGCCTCCTGCACCTATGCCCACTGGTGTCCACATCCAGGAAAGGAAATGACAGACCCCTGAATACAGGGACGAGCCAACCAAGACCAGTGGCGACGCCAACCCAACAATTCCAAAGGTTTATTCCTTTAGTTGCTATTACACAACGTAACGCAAAAGGGGGAAACCACACAAAATTCGTTTTAAAATAGACAAGGGGCTGACCACGGTCTCACTGAGAACATACACCCAGGAGAAGCGTTCGAGTCAGGCACCCAGGACCTGCTCCGGACACACACACATGCGGGACACACGTGGCTGCCACCGGAGCAGTGGGGCCAGATGCTAGGTACAGCCCACAGCAACAGCTCCCAGTGGCCGAGAGTTCCAGTCGCCCGTAGAGCAATAAATACTAACACGGCGCAGCAGGGGATAAAGCCATCAAGGTAAGGAGTCACGGCTTGCTTTCCTCAAGTCCAAGCACAGTGGCAATATTTCAAGTATTGCGAAGAAAACACACGTGTGTGCATCTGTGTATGTGGTGATGACCTTGGGTCCCTGCCGGGGACACGGACCCACCGCTGCCTCCTGCGGACTTGGGATTCGTTCAAGTAGATCCAGACGGGGCCGAGCTGAGGGCTGGGCAGGCAGGGCTCTCGGCAGACCCCATCGGCGCCCCAGGAGGCAGGGGCAGGGCAGGCGTGGCCACCACGAGGGGCGCATCTCTGCACAGTGTTCATCCCCACCTGTCCGTCCGCCCGGTGGCCACACAGGACAGGCCGGCAGAGGATGGCACAGGTGCAGGCAGAAGGCCCGAAAGCCTCCCACCCGCCACATACCCCCTGCCCGGCCCAATGTCCCAAAACCATTTCTTAAACACCTAAGAGTTTTCTCCTTTAAAGAAAAAATAAGCTGCATAAAAATAAGACACATTTTAGGAATAAAGTGTGAATGATTACGTGTTCTGGGCTTAGCACGCACGGAGTCCCATGCTGCCCGGCCCTGAAGACACTGAGACCCAGCACTGTGTCACCCTCTGGGCGGACGGCCTCTGAGGTCGACACCGGCAGCTGGCCCCAGCGCGCCAGGCTGTCTATGTGTGCACGTGTGTATTCGTGTATGTACAGACACCGTGGTCATGCCAGGGTCACTTCCCGGCGGTCCACGGCGAGGTGAGGGTCTCGTGTCTCTGCATAAAGTGCTCAGGTGATTTACAAAGCTGGGTGGGTGGTCTCAGAGGGAGAGGGTCCTGGATATGAAGCCAGAGGCCTGCTCCCGGGTAGCAGGCGGGCAGGTCTGGCTGAGGAGCTTGCTTTGGCTTCAAGCTGGCGGCGCTGTTGGGGCCTAGCCTGTCCTGGGGGCTGGCACAGATCTCAGGGACAGTGGGTGCCCAGATACCTACCTGCCATCCCTTGGCGCCTGAGCCTGCTGTGGGAGGCAGCCGGAGGGGGAGGAGCTGAGACCACCGCACGGGTGTCCTACAGCCCAGCAGGGGGCCACCCCAACCATGTGGCCAGGGTACCTGGCGGCTCAGCCCCTGCCTGCGAGCTGCCCAGAGGTCAGGCACAGATGCCGCTCAGCAGGGCCGAGAGTCTCCGCTCGATGCACAGCTTGCCTGTGGAAGGAGAAGCGGTGAGGGCCACCCCAGCCCCCAGCCCTGGCCCCGGCCTCCCACCCAGCCCGCACACTTACACTTGGCGATGTTCTCGATGTCGGCCTGGTCCGACAGAAGGTGCTGCAGCCCCTCCAGAAGCAGCAGGGCCTTGTGGTAGCGTGGCACACAGCCCTCGCGGTGCTGGAACATCTCGTCCAGTGCAGCCGACTGTACCTGCGGGACAAGCAGAGGCTGGGTCCGGCTGCTGAGCAAACACTGCCCTGGCAGACACAGGCTGGATGCAGACAGCAGCACAGGGTGCCAGAGAGCTTGGTGCTGCCCGGTCAGGGTCGCTCCTGCCACCTGTGGCTGCTCCTGCCTGGGGGAGTGCAGAGGAGAAGACAACGTGCCCCGAGTATTTACTGGGGGTTTTTACATGTGTAAATTTTTCTTTAAAAAAGGGGGCATGGGCCGGGTATGTTGGCTCACACCTATAATCCCAGCACTTTGGGAGGCCGAGGTGAGAGGATTACCTGAGCCCACAGGTTCAAGACCAGCCTGGGCAACTTGGTGAGACCCCCCACCCTCTACAATAAATCAAAAAATTAGCCAGGCGTGGTGGCACGTGCCTCTAGTTCCAGCTACTTGGAAACCTGAGGTGAAAGAATCGCCTAAGTCCAGCAGGTTGAGTCTGAGGTGGCTGAGAGCATGCCACTGCCCTCTAGTCTTTTTCTGAGTCAGAGTCTTACTCTGTCACCCAGGCTAGAGGGCAGTGGCACACTCACAGTCACCCCAGCATCGACCGACAAGGCTCCAGCCATCCTTCTACCTCAGCCTTCCAAGTAACCGGAACTACAGGGGCACACTACCACACCCAGCTAATTTTTTTAATTTATTGTACAGATGAGGTCTCACGCCAAGTTGTCCAGGCTGGTCTTGAACCCGCAGGCTCAGGCAATCCACTCACCTCGGCCTCCCAAAGTGCTCGGATTACAGGCTGAGCCACCAAGCTCAGCCTAAAATTTAAATTTTAAAAAGGGGAGATTGGGAAGGTACCAGCTAATCGCAGTGGCTATTGCCTATGATCCTAACACTCTGGGAGGCTGAGGAGAGGGGATCACTTGAGCCCAGGAGTTTGAGACTAGCCTGGGCAATACAGCAAGACTCTGCAAAAAAACCAAATTAGTTAGGCATGGTGGCATGTGCTTACAGTCCCAGCTACTCAGGAGACTGAGGCAGGAGGATCACCTGAGCCCAGGAGGTCAAGGCTATAGTGAGCCAAGATCGTGCCACTGCCTTCCATTCTGGGTGACAGAGTGAGACCCTGACTTAAAAAAAAAAAGGACCAGGAACGGTGGCTCACACCTACAATCCCAGCACTACGGGAGGCCAAGGTGAGCGGACTGCACTTTGAGTCGGGCTGCCTGAGACGGCGCCTCCGGAGGGCAACTTGCCCGAGAGGCCTGAGGCCTGGTCTCTTGTTGGACAGTTAAGGAAACTGAGTCTCAGGGAGGGACTTGGCTGGGATCCCTGCTGGCTGGACGCATACAATACTGAGCGGGCCAGGCTGAGCTGCAGCTCCTGAGTGCTTCCGGAGGAGTGGGGGCAGGGACACGCAGCCAGAGGGACCACCTGCCACGTACCATCTGCACGGCATGGCTGAAGATGAGCTTCTCGGCACTGACGCTGTGGATGCGGTCCAAGAGCCGCTGCTTGTCCAGGAAAAAGCGCTGCAGCCGCAGGCTCAGGCCCTGGCAGGACACCACGCTGGCCTTATACAGCTCGTTGAGCCTACGCACCACTGCAGGCAGACACAGGGGGTCATGTGGGGAAGACGCCACTGGCAGGGCTGGCTGCTCAGACCACCCAGCGCAGCCGGCGTGGAGGGCGTGTCTGTGTATAGGAGAGGGAGCCAAATGCGGGCGTGGGGTGGGGCAGCACGTCCCTCCGTGTCACCATGGCTGCTGGGCCTTCCGGGTCCCTCAGTCTGTGGCCAGGCTCAACCCCCAGGCCCAGGGCCTTTGCACTGCCCTCTCTGGCTCCCCTGCCTACCGGGGCCTCCCTTTGCCCTCTCTGGGCAATGGGCCGGCTACACCCAGCACCCGCAGCTCACCTTGCTTGACGGTCGACGACAGGCAGAGCCTGCCAGCCCGGATCTGGTCGATGGCGGTCTGAAGGCCCGAGGACAGCAGCTCGGCCACCTTCAGGTACAGCACCAGCTGCTCTGCGAAGCTGGGGGTGGCGGGCGGGTTAGAGGAGGTGCTGCGGCGCCACCCGCCCCCACCAGCCCTGGCTGGGCACCCACCCCCACTCGCGGCTCAGCAGGCTGATCTGGTCGGCCACCACGCTCTCCTGCAGCTGGTGCTCGGGGCCCTCGGCCACCTCGCTGGCGCTGCCCTTCAGGGCCGCGATCTCCAGGACGTGCTGGACAAACAGCAGCGTGAAGCGAAGGCTGTGCAGGATCTCTGTGTGCTCTTGCTGCGGGGTAGGGATGGGGTTGGGATGGGCCAGGAATGGCCAGGGGCCGGGGGAGTGGGAAGGGCCAGGAAGTCAGGGGCCGGAGGGCACCAAGGTCAGGGGGCAAGGGGGACTCAGGGAGCAGGGGGCTTAGGGAAAGCTGGGGGTTGGGGAACACACGTCCAGCTGGGACAGAAACCACCTCACACCCGTCCTCACCTCCATAAGGGTCTCCTCGGGGAGGTCAGGGGCCTCGAAGGTCACGGCACCCTCCAGGTTGGCAGCAAGGGGATCAGCAAAGCTGCAGCAGTGGCCAGGGGCAGGGAACTCTGGGGCCACCTCGCTGCAGGCCCCAGGCACCAGGTGGCGGGTAGAGGAGGCACCGACAGAGCTCAGGGAGCCTGAGGAGCCCACTGTGGGGAGAGTGGGTGAGGGGTACCAGGAAGCACATAGCTTAGGACCTGCACGCCCAAGCACCTTGGTCTATACCCAACAAGGGCCACAGGGCCAGCCAGGGCGCCCAGGATACTGGACCCGCTCAGCCTCAGGTCCCCGGCCATGCCTCCCCCAGCTCCCCGCCTCGGACAAGGCCTCGGTACCCATCAAAGGGATCACCTAGGCTCCAAGCCACGCCCAGATTTGCCCCAGAGGGAAGACAGCTGGGCAGGGGGTGGGGGGCGGCCCAGGTGCTGCTGTGTCCCAGGGTGAGCCTCGCAGCAGGCAGGTGGCCCACAACTCTCCCAGTGTAGGTGACAGGACCCCCACAGCCACGCCTCACCAAGCAAAACCCACAGGGTACCCAGCCAGGCCAGGGCCCAGAGCTGCCTGCAGGACACTCAGGGCCTGAGGGCACGCCTGTCTGAGAGGCCTGTATAAGCCCAGGACCCCAAGCAGGGCTCCTGACCAGAACTAGCTGGTCTTTCCTGGCAGCACGGCTGGCGTCCCAGCCACCATCCTGGCCTGAGGGTGCTGGGGCACCAGTGGCCACGAGGGGTGCCCGAGAGCAGGCACAGAGCACGTCCAGCTCCCAGGGGGAGTCCGGCCGAGTCAAGGACCACCACCCAGGGTGCCGCCAGCCCAGAGAGGTAGCTCTCACCTGAGAACATCCTGGCGCGGGGGCCCTGGGGGGGCGTGGTCCCGCTTGGGGGGGAGCCCACGGTGAAGACCACCGGGGCAGGGCTGCTGGCGCTGGCGCGGCCTCCCGGGTGCAGGCTCCCTCCGAAGCCAGCAGAGGGCGCTGGGGAAGAAGGGGACTCAGGGGCCTGTCCTGGGTGGCTCCGGAGCTCCCCAAACCCCAACCACATGCCACCCCAGCCCACCCGCACCAATCTCCATGGGCTTCTCCTGCAGGCTGTCGGTGCTGCCCGAGTCCAGGGCCTGCGTCCCAAAGGCGGCCTTCAGAAGCAGGTCGGTGAGCCGGCTGGTGCTGCAGGACCTGCCGGGAGGGGGTGGTGGGTGGGGACGGAGCCATGGGGGACCCTCTCACACTCTGACCAGACACAGACACACGGCCACCGTTCTCCATCCCCACCAGACACATGGCCACCATCTTCCACCCCAACCACACACACACAGGCCACCATCCTACACCCTAACCAGACTCAGACATGCACGGGGCCACCATCCTCAGCCACCTGGCAAGGCACGTTTGTCTGTTTCATGGAAGGGGCACCAAAACTGAGATCACAGCTGCTTGGGTGGGGTGGCAGGGCCAGCCAGGTGGGCCCAGGCCTTTCTCTTCTACCCCCCAGAGCTCCCAGCTGCACAGGCAGGGCAGCTCCATCTGTGACCCACCCCCCACTCACCGGCCAAAGGGGCCCTTCAGGTCCTCGCCAGGTCGCAAGCCAGGGCCCAGTGGTTGAGCCTGGAAAGGCCCCACCTCCGAGAAGTCAGGCAGTGTCCGGTTCCGAGGGGGCGTCACCACCATGCCCTGCCGGGCCAGCAGGGCAAGCAGGTTCTGGGAGCTGGGGGTCTTGGGGAAGTCGAACAAGGGCATGGCCTAGGGGAGCAGGCAGTGCTGAGACCCTGTCCCCAGCCCTGATACCCGCTTGGGGGACAGTGGCCAGCAGGCAGCCCTGACACGGCCAGAGTGTGGGCCTGGGTGGGACTGACGGGTTTTGTGCACAGCCACCCACCTGAGTCTTTTCTGGGTCTGGCCCCTTCTACCCATTTCCTTCCCAGGAATCCAGGCCCAGACACCTGTTACCTTGGTGGGGGAGCCCAGGATAGGGGGCAGGGGGTTCCGCTGCAGGAAGTCGGGCAGCTTGGGCGAGCCACGCACGGTCCGGCAGGACTGCAGTCCGTGGGCTGGAGGGGGGCTGGCCTGCGCAGGGCTGAAGGCCATGCCCAGTGGGTCCGTGGGGGGTTTTGGCAGCTTGGGACGGGCGCCGTGCAGGTCAGACAGGTTGGGGGCGCTGTGCAGGCGGCAGCCCAGCCCAGAGGTGCGCGGGGAGTGCTCGGGTGCAGAGGAACCTGGGATGGGCGGGCCACGTTACCACATGCGGGACCAGCAGTCGCCCAGGCACACCCACCACCACTAGGACCCAGCCGCCACTGGGGCGAGGTTTCCAGATCCCTTTCTCTTATCCTGACCCCCAGCCCGCCCAGAGAGGCCGCCTGGTCTCCATCCCTGAGGCCACAGGCGTGGGGGGCCGGGAAGCCTGTCCAAGCTCACACGGCCCATGAGGAGGGAGTCATCCCCTACAGCCCAGTCTGCACTTGGGAAACTCCACTTATATACCTTACTTAAATAATTATATTTTGGTGGAGACCAGGCCTGGTTATGTGGCCTAGGCTGGTTTCAAACTCCCAACCTCAAGCAGTCCTCTCCTCTCTTAGCCTCCCAAAGTGCTGGGATCAGAGGTGTGAGTACTGTACACACCCAGGCTACACCTACCTGGCCGAGGAGACCTGCTGGCCCGCATCTCTGCTCCCTGTAGAGAGGGTGTACCGCTCCAGCCCGGCCGCTCGGGGATGGTCCCAACTGGGGGGAAAGAGGGATTAATGACAGGCTGGGACAGAAGTGGCACCCCCCACCCTGGAGATGCCTCCCAGACCCCAGAAGCTGGGCCCACCTTGCGGAGATGGTGTGTAGGGCCGGCCCCCACCCAGGGATGTCTTCCTGGCCAGCACGGCTCCATGTTCCATGTGGGCTGGGGGTGACGGGCTGGCCCGGGGAAAGCCCAGAGGGCTGGTGCTGCCCGATCTGTGGATGGCAGAGGACCTAAGGATGGGAGGGTGAGGCCCAGCAGCCTGGCCCCCGGCCTCGTGCCACACCCAGGACAGGCCATGGCGCTGCCAGGTGGGTCACCCACTGGTTGCACTCATCCAAGGGGCACCCCCATGGACTTGGGGAGGAGGAGCCTTCAATATTCCTCCCCAGAGTGACAGCCAGCTGTGTGGAGCCCCCCTGTCACTCAGGACGCCCCCAGCATGAGGTCACAGGTCCTGCCAGGACCACCACTGGCCCACAGTCTTCTGTGAGTTACAGAAAAGGGGCCCCTCCCTCCTGTCGTTTATCTCTGCCTGCTGAAATATACCAAATCGACACTGGTTTTGTAAACTTTAGACACTTCACTGATGATCAGAAAACTGTCAAGATAATCCTAGAACTCCATGCTGTCAACAAGGCAAATGGAGGCACAGAGCTGTGCAGTGAGCAACCTGCAAAACGGCACTCATGACGGCCGTGCTCCTCCCCAGCGGCACTCACCGGGGCACCTGGCACTGGGTGGGCGACTGCAGGTTCTGCTCAATGCGCTGGTAGTTGTGCACCTGCGTGGGGACTGGGATGGGGACGGAGGCTCCGTATCTGCTGCTGGAGAACGGGCCAGCCCGGCTGTGGTGGGAGAGGGCGGGTCACGGAGACAGCCCAGGAGGCACCCAGGCCCAGACCTCCCAGGAGAGACCACACCGGGCCACCCGCCAAGGCTGAGAGGCCGCTCCCGCCTTCCGCCTGCGCCAGCACTGAGGCTGTGGCCCCAGAACCGCGCTGGCCCTGCACACCTGGACACCGTCTGCACCCAGTCTGGGAGGCAGTAGCAGCAGAGGGGGCCCTGGGCCTGGGTTGTGACACGGGGGATCCTGCAGGGTCCTGGGCTGGCTCCCTCCCTTCCCACCCTCTGCCAATGCCCCTCCCACTATAATCCCTGTTGCTGGACCACCTAGTGGAGCCTGCGGCTCACCAGATCCGAGGGGGCAGGCCGAAAGCCCACAACATCCCCTGCTTACCCCGAGGGGCTGGGGGAGCTGCCGCAGGGAGGGGGTGGAGACGGGGTCCGGCCGCGGCTCTCCAGGCCAGCAGAGGCCACCAGCGAGCTCCTGGGAGCAGAAGGCAGGGAGGTGCCTTCAAGCCACAAGCAGCCCGCCCGCCGCAGGCCCCCACCGCCCGCAGTGGGTACAGCAGCCTTGGCCTGTCCCCAGCACCTGACTGGCTATGTAGGGCAGCACAGGCCTCGCCCGAGGTCGTTCCCTCCCCAGTACTGAGCTTGGGGGCAGAGCTCACCCACTGCACATCAGGCTGTCTGCCGGGGGCTTGGTACCAGGTGCCTCGGTCAGCAGGTCACCTGCAGGTGGGAGACAAGGCTGGGCCTAGAGTCCTCCCACCTGCCCCGCCC